AAGAAAACAAAAAAAAAAAAAAAATAAAGAAAAGAGAGAGAGAGAGAGAGAGAGAGAGAGAGAGAGAGAGAGAGAGAGAGGTTACCAAGGAATCTTTCATGTAGTTGTTGCACAACCAGTTTGCAAGAAGTATAAGTAATTCGCGACCCACAGGTTCATCTCCATGCACATTACCAATGAACTACAATATTCCACATATGTACTTTTAGTGCCCTTTCCTCACATTTTTAATATGAGGAAAGAAATTCTAGAACAGCATGCGATGATAATAAAAACAGTCTAATATGTAAACTTGAATACCAAAATAAAAACATATATGTCGCCCTATTCACTAGGTTAACAAAAAAGGAGTCATGCCTGTCCCTACCTTCAATATATTGGTTACTAAAAGGAAAACATTATACACGCTATCAGCTTTGAAGCATAGATAATACCAGAGTTGTCTTAAAGATCCTCTTCAGTTTGTTACACCCTTATTTCCATGCAAGAAAGCCATTTCGATCCAATTCATTCTTGGGGTCGGAAAAAGACACAGGATATGTCAGTGACTTTGCACAACAAAGCCATCTCCGAGGGCATGGAATATCTTCCAAATACTCGACCAAAAAGCTAAATTTTGAAAAGCTACCTCCAAATTCTACCAGAGTTTCATGACATTGGCCCCTTTGAACTAACGGAACTATGTTTCATCCAGCTTTGAGAAAACTAACACTTTAAATGCCTCGTATTGGGCAAAAATTCTTACAAAACTTGATGCTAATTGCTAGAGCATCCTCCTGTCAATCACTATAAACAAGTGGGGAGTCCAGCCCATCTAGGTCCACATGAAGATTAACACCCACTCTGGTCCTTCTGATAATTGTTGGTCAACGTGAAAAAACCAAGTTATCAATTCAAACTTTTCCTTTTCTTGTTCCATTAATTACCATCTCCTTTACCTAGTTTGATCTTTTTCATAGTTTACTGTCATTTTCATGTATATTACTCAGTTACCCCCCAACATTTGAGTAGTGATATTTTGACCATTGGTATATCGACCCACACCAAGTGTCCATCCAATTCGTAGGTGGCATGAGGCTACTAGCGCATTCTTTATCAAGGACACAATGAAGTCTATACACTAGTGGCAAGGTTTTAAATATCAGATATTGGGAAAATATCGGATGGCCAAAATTCATATCGGATTGCGGATATCGAGAAAATATCGGGGATATGTGGTAAATATCGGAATGCCATAATGAATGTTTGCATACATAGTATCATGCATTAAAATGTAATCTCAACATATGTAATAAAATTTAAGCATACAAAATATGAATAATATATGTTTAGGATCACTAATCAACCTTCTAAAACAAACAAAATGGCAAAGCAATGTTGCAACATTCGATCTGCTTTTTTAGGACAAAATGTCATTTGATATAATAGGAAAATCTTGATATCTCGCCTAAAAATTCCAAACACGATATATTATTTTGCAACAAGCTATATAAAAAGATATATTGGTCCACATATCGGCTAATATATCGGTCATATCGGGGATTTATCACTCAAAATAGCCAAAAAACGGTAAAGGATATTTAAAGACCATATCAGTTGCGGCAAGCCCTGTAAAAGGATATATCGGGGGCTATATCGGGCAATGTCGGTGATATTTAAAACAATGACTAGTGGTCCAACCATTTTCCAATATTTTGAATTATTTTATTTTGTTTTGATTTAAATTATTTTTCTTTGTGTTTGTGTGTGTTTTTTTTTTTTTTTTTTGGGGGGGGGGGGGGGGGGGGGGGGTAAAATTTTGGGGG